GGACAAAAAGACAAAAGACAAAAAAAATAAAAATAAAAAAAATAAAGTGAGCCTTAACCTATACCTCACACCTCATATAAAAATCAACTCAAAATAGACCATAAACCTACATATAAAATGTCCAACTCTAAAATGTGTAAAGAGAAAATCTTTTAGGTCTTGGGTTAGGCAAAGAATTCTTAGATATGACACCAAAAACACAATCTACAAAAGAAAAAGTTGATAAACTGGACTTCATCAAAATTAAAATCTTTTCTCTGCAAAAGACACTATTAAGAGAAATAAAAAGACAAGCCACAGACTGGGAGAGAATATTTGCAAATCACATATCTGATAAAGAACTCTCAAAGCTTTACAATAAGAAAATAAAGAACCCAACTAGAAATGGTCAAATGCTTTGGATACACAATTCACCAAAGAAGATATACGAATAGCCAATAAGTACATGAAAATATACTTAACATCATTAGTCTTTAGGAAAATGCAAGTTAAAACCACAATGAGATACTTCTATGCACCTATTAGAATGACTAAAAAAAAAATGAGCGCTGGCAAGGATGAGGAGCAAGGATGAGTGCTGGCAAGGATGAACTCTCATACATTGCAGGTGCGCATGCAAAAATGGTAGTCATGTTGGAAAAGATTTGGTATTTCTGATAAAGTTAACCCATATACTTACCATTTGACCTAGCAATCCCACTCTTAGGTATTTACACAAGTGAAATGAAAACCTATGTTCACACAAAAACCTATATGCAAATGTTTATAGTAACTTTATTTGTAATCATCAAAAGTGGGAAACAACTCAAATGTCCCTAAACTAGGGAATGGATAAACAAAATGTAGAATACATACAATGGAATACTACCCAACAACAAAAAGGAATGACCATTAATACAGATGACAATATGGATGAACCTCAAATATATTATGCTAAGTGAAAGAAGCCAGACAAAAAAGTGTATCTAATGAATGATCCCATTTATATGACATTCTGGAGAAGTTAAAAATATAAGGATAGAAAATAGATCAGTGAGTGCCTAGGCTTCAGAGTTGGGGGAGGATTTTTGTTTGTTTGTCAAGTGATGGAACTGTTCCAAATCACGATTGTGATGGCAATTATATGACTATGCATTTGTCAAAACTCAGAATTTTTTTATGCAAAAGAAATTTTACTGATGTAAATTTAAACATACAGATGACGGTACTTCAAAAAGTTCACAGAAAGATGTGTATTATCTTAAACACAGATAATTTAAAAAATGATATGAAAATGTCTTCTCCTAACTTTTTACTTCAAACTTGAAATTATTTTATAGATAACACAGTAGAACATCCAAAGAGCATACGAGTAAGGAGAGAGTTTGTGATTAATGGTTTGAGTCATATTCAGAGTCCACTTTCACCACAGTCTTTAGGAAGTGCACATTTTTTCAAGGATTAATCCAGAAAAAGATTGAAATAACTACAATGTTTGCCAGTAGGGGACTGGTTAAATAAATTACAGCAGGTCCAATGAAATATATAGAGCTGCTTAAAAATGAGGGCTAGCTATATTTGCTGGTTTGGAAACTATAAAGAACGTATACTTACTGAATGCTTACTTCTTTTAGTAATCTTTGGTAATTTCTTTTCTGGAAAAAGGACAACTAGGAAAGTGCTACGGGGAGTTTGGGGAGGAGGTTATATCGGGCTGGGGCAGGTCGAAAGTTTCTGGGGAGCTGCAAAGTTCTACCTCTTGATCTGGGTGGTGGTTACAAAAGTGTTCCACCTTATAGTAACATTAAACTTTACATTTGTTTCATATTGTTTTCTGTATCTGTGGTATATTTTACGACAGAAAGCTTTAAGTAATGACAATTTAAGGGCAATTTAATTAAGTCAGGCGAACATCTGTGAATCTACCATCCACCCCAAGAACTAGCACATTACTAATGACATCATAAATCCACTGCCTCCACCAGAGGTAATCGCCATCTGACTTTTGTGCTTATCAATCTCTTGCTTGTTTTTTTAGCTTTTTCTTAAAATATGCCTAAAAAATACATTGCTTATAAAAAGTACATTGTGCTGTATGTTGTCTTCTGGCCTTGATTTTTCTTAAACTCAGTATTATGCCACTACAATTCATAGATGTATTTGCACATTTTTGAAATTAATTTATTTGCACACTGTATAATATTCTATTCTGCTAATATACTACAATTTCTGTCCATTCTCCTGTCAGTGGGCATTTGGATGGTTTTCATTTGTTTATAATGACTCACAATGCTGCTAAAAGCACTATTTTAAAAATTTAAAAACAGAAAAATTTACACGGAGAGGAAACTAAGGCATCATACTAATGGAAACCATATACTTCTTTTTTTTTTTTATTTCCAGTGAAGAGAACAGGTCTGGGATTGCACAAGAAACAGTGAAGGAAGTGGGGTCTTCAGTCTGTCTGGCCATCCTGATAGCTGAGGTTCTCTCTCTGGCACTGGATGTGGTGGCCTGATTGCTCTTACATGCTTTTTAAAGGTTTCTTACATTTTTAAAATTATATTTTTATTATACAAATAATACCTAAATACATACTTCTTGTAAAAAGAAAACTAGTAAACAAAATGGATAAGATTGTCCTTTTAATCCACATCCCAGACCTCTGCTCCTCCTCGGAAGTGAGCATTCTGATCATTTCTCAGATCTTTTCGATTTTTTTTTTTTCTTTCTTAGGTAGATTCTTTGATTTAAAACTATTTAATTAGAGAGACATAAAATGACAAGGTTTAAAAAGAGCACACATGAGGAGAAGGCATTCTAATTTAGGCAAATATTTAATATTTATTTGAGCTGATATTATCTGGATAATGGAAAGCAAAGAATTCTGAGTGTGGAAAAAGCATGAAGTGCTGTGTTTTTTAGCTTCCTTTGGTTAGTTCGTCGGCATGACTTATCACACATATTTTTTGATTTTGTGAATGTCCAGAATAAACATTCAATATCTATCCATATTCAAACTTAAGTACAAAAACCCATTCCAAGGCTGAACGTTCCATACTCTCTTACTGTCATCACTGTAACACGGTGAAATAAAAAGACATTAGCTTTGTTGAAATCTTTCCCAGGCCCCCTAATAACTATGTAATCTTGGGTGAATTAAATAACTTTTCTGAATCACAGTTTCCTCACCTGCCAAATGGTTAGTCTGAAGATTAAATGAGCTAGAACATATGTCAATTACCTAGCATAGTATTTGGCAGTTAGTAAGTCCTCACTGAACATAAACTCTCTTCCCTCTGCCTCATTAGTGTTCCTAACTCAGTCAGTGCCTTGTGGGGCTTATCCTGGAAGGAAAGGTCCTTCCTCTGTAGAAAGATCAAGTGAGGGGTCAAAAACACTGCGCTTTATTACCCTTTCCTAAGAGAAAAGTCAGAAAAACAAAAATAAAAAAAACCCCCAGGGTCTCAGTGTTTTTAAACTACCAACCCCCACAGAGGTTGCGCAATCCCCAAGATTTCTCCTAAAGCCCCATTCCCGTCAGGGGAAAGGGAACTGCAACTTTAGTCCCTTCTTTTGACCCTTGGTTTCCTTACCACTTTATGGAAACTCAAAGCTCTTTGGTAGCAAGAGGGTGTTTACCCCTTCTGCATGTCTATAAAATCCCAGCTGGGCAGGGTTCCCTGCAAAGGAAACACGAAGTGTTCCTTTAGTTGGCACTGCAAGGACATGGTCAGAGTAAGCAGAATATTGGGGTATCCTTGTGAGGAGGGTCTCAAGTCTATGTCTCTAGTGCCAGACCAGGCTGGGCATCCCAAGGGAGGGAGAGGAATGTGTTTTAGACCACCTGGAAGGGAGGAGATAGTTCTTCAAAAGGTTATCAAGTGCCAAAAGATTATTTCTCACTCAAGGACAGAATGTTAGATGATTTCCCATGGGGTTAGGCATGCTATCATCAAGGACCTAATCCCCTTGCTCCACCTCTGTCTTTCTCTCTAACTTCCTGGACTTCACTCAAAGTAAGGGACTCACAGTCCTGACTGCACCCTGGAATGGTCTGCACTACCTTCTACAGGAGAACAACCAACTCTGAAACGACTTTCCTTCCTGCTCACCCACATCCTTCAATAGAAGCCCTCTCTTTAACTCCAAAGGCGTAGCCTTAAGGTTCATTGTTCATTTGGACATTAGGAAGACTCTGTTTTCAATTCAAGTAATCCACATTAAGGTTTCAATGACCGATGGCTGCTATTGTTACTTTTCAAAAGAGGTACTTAACGTTTAATAATCTGCAGAATGTTTGCAAGAGACTCTAGAGTAAAGGAGTCCTCTAGGTATCCCCCTGATCATTGTCTCCTTTTTCTCCCTGCTAGAAGGGACAGCTGCTTGGCATCTCATTTAAGGAAACTCAACCCCTGCCCTCTTGTATCAGTTCAGATGCACATGGTCTGAGTGGTCCTGTCTTCTTGCCATTACCCTCATCAGACAGTGGGGAAAGATGTATCAATATTTTCAGTCCCTGTTTTTGTAAGATAAGGACATTGGCGTGTTCAAGCCACCCTGGGCACCATTCTTCTTGTGGTGCTTATAACAGCCAGTAATCACACTTCTTCTCAAAGAAAGCCCTCAGCCTGAAGACCGCATTCTTATTACTGGCTTTAGCTACGGGCCCCCATCAGTTCCTCTTTCTCAGACCTCTCCCTTTGTCTTTTCTTACCTGCTGTCTGATGAAGCTGCAATTCCAGGCTCAACATTAGCAGCAGGAGGAACATGTTCTGTACTTGATCTGAAACAGACAATGGAAAGTCTCAGGGCTTATGCAGTTTTGCTGGGTTTCATGATTTGGTGATTTACTCACTCCTGGAAATGACTGATCTTTTGGCAGAGGTGGTAGACCGTGGTGGAGTGGAGCAGAGCTGGAAAGAGAAGTTATTGGTTGATTGACTGGAGTAGGGGGGGATATAAGGTAAGAGGAAGTGAGGAACTCCTTATCAATCCAAACGAGAAGATCTGCTTCCTTTTCTAACGGCCTTTTCTGAATGTGAACCAGTTCTCATGAGTCACGCACACTGGTGGTTCTCAGTACCTCTTTGTCTCTCCCACAAAGCCTTCCATAGGCCCTTGAATAGCTACCTTGTTTGTCAAATGAGTAATGCACACCATCTTCTCTAGCTGGACTGCAAGTCTGGAAGTCAGACTCCTGAGAATACGCCTCAGGAGAACAGAGCTAGATGTTCAATATATACTTGCCAGTTGACTGAGCAGGCAAAGTAGTCATGCTCTCTTGAGTGCTGTGATTGAGTTTTTCCATCACTTGAACTACCTCTTACTAGGAGGTTTAGACAGGGAGAGCAGAGCGCTGGCTCTGATGGTGGGAAGGAGGGTGCCTCCCCGTGGTACTGCTCTACCCCTCTGCTTCCTCTTTTGCTCTTAGGCTTTCTCCATCCACAGAGCTCATGGTTGGCGGCCACAGGGACAGGGTGCACCACTGTCAGCTATTCTGTTCTTGAAGAGGCTTTTTAACCTTTTATTAGCCATGGAACTGTTTCTTCAAGGGAAATCTGTTGGAGCCTTACATGTAAATTAAGTAAACGTGGAGCTGCTCTGCGTATGATGGAAAGCCAGTGGAAGGTTTAGATCAGGAGGACGACATGACCTCATTTACATTTTTAAAAGAGAACTCAGCTTTGGTGTAGGCAATACACTGTTGTTGGGAGGGGGTGTTGGTTGACAAGGTTAGAAGCAGGAAGATGAATTAAGAATGTCTCTGCAGAAATGATGAGACCTTGGATTAGGGTGGTGGGGCTAGTGGAGGTGAGAAGTGGTCTGTTGGGGGTTTTATATTTTTTTCCTTTGTCCTTTAAAATTAAAAAAAAAACTTTTCAACAGCTTTATTGAAGTATAATTGACAAAAAAAAAGTATAATTGACATATAAGGATACTTTAAAAAGTTCGTGGAAAAATAGAATTAAAAGATGATATAAATATTTCCATGAACTTTTTGAAGTACCCTCATACAAAAGAGGGTTATATGTGTATATGTACATACTTAAAACACAGACATTTTTAAAGTGTGTAATTCTGGGGTTTTTAGTATATTCACCGAGTTGTGCAACCAGTACTACTACCTACTTTTGGAACATTTTCATTACACCAAAATGGAACCCCATACCCATTAAAAGAACCTCCCCATTTCTTCTTCACTCTCCCCGCACACCCTGGCAACCACTTATCTGCCTTATGTCTCTATCAATTGCTCATTCTGGACATTTCATATAAATAGAATTATACAGTATGCGACCTTTTGTGACTGGCTTCTTTTACCAAGCATGTTGTCATGGTTCATTTGTGCTATAATATATATCAGTGCTTTATCCTTTTTTGACTGATTAATATTTTATTGTGTGATATACAAAATTTTGTTTATCTATTCATCCTTTGATAGACATTTGGGTTGTTTCTACTTGTTAGCCATTGTAAGTGATGCTGCTGTGAATACTCATGTGGAAGTTTTGTGCATATATGCTTTCAATTCTCTTGGGTATATATGTAGGAGTGGAATTGCTGGGTCAAATGATAACTCTCTGTTTTACTTTTTAAGGAACTGCCAAACTATTAATCAAATATCTAATTTGCACATACTTTCTCTCATTCTGCAGATTATCTCTTCGGTTTCTTGGTAGTGTCCTTTGAAGCACAAATGTTTTAATTTAATTTAATTTGGAAACACATATTCACTTAATTGTGATGATGTTCAATTATCTATTTTTTTCTTTTATTGCTTATGCTTTAGGTGTCATGTCTGAGAAATCATTGCTTTATCCAAGGTCACAAAGATTTACATCTATGTTTTCTTCTAAAAATTAAATATGTTTCAGTTCTTATATTTAGGTCTTTGATCCATTTTGAGTTAATTTTTGTACACGGTATGAGAGAAGGCTCCAAATTTGTTCTTTTGCATATGGACATCTAGCTTTTCCTGTACAATATGTTGGAAAATTTATTCTTTTTCCATTGAATTGTCTTGGCACCCTTGCAAAAAAATCAATTGACCATAGATATATGGGCCTATTTCTGGACTCTTAATTCTATTCATTGAACTATATGTCTATCCTATGTTAGTACCACACAGTGTTGATTCCTGTAGCTTTGGGATAAATTTTGAAATCGGGGAGCGAGTCCTCCAACTTTGTTCTTTTTCAAGATTATTATTATTATTATTATTATTATTATTATTATTATTCTGGCTCTCGCATTTTCTTATGNAAGTCCTCCAACTTTGTTCTTTTTCAAGATTATTATTATTATTATTATTATTATTATTATTATTATTATTATTATTATTATTATTCTGGCTCTCGCATTTTCTTATGAATTTTAGGATCAGCTTATTCCTTTCTGCAAAAAAAAAAAAAAGGCAGCTAGAATTTTGGTAGGTGTACCCTGTTTGGGGAACACAGTCATTATAATAATATTGTCTTCTAATCTGTGAATATAGCATGTCTTTCCATTTACTTAGGTCTTCTATATTTTGAAAGAAGATCTGAAGGGAATTGCTGATAGGTTGGAAAGTAGAGAAATCCATGAAAATTCCTAGGTTTGGGGCTTGAGTCACTAGGGCAATGGAGGTGCTATTTATTAAAATGAAGAAGACAGGGAAAAGCAGATTAGGGAAGGAAAACTAAGAGTTGTGTTTGGTGTATGTTTGGTTTCACATGCCTATTAGACAACCAAGTGGAGGTGTTTAGTAGGCAGTTGGATAACAGATGGGCCAGAGTTTGGGGCAGAGGTATGTATTTCAGAGTCATCAATGTATGAGTATTATTTAAAGCCACGGCACTGCATGATCTCACCTACAGAGGATTGGGAAGGGAAAGTGTCCAAGTACTGAGACTGGATACTCCAACAGTTGTAGATCTTTGTGAGGAGAGGCACCAGCAAAGGAGATTGAAAGGACGGATAAAATGGCAAAAGACAGTGTGGATTAACCATGCCTTTTATCTTCTGTATTCTGATGCTTTGACATCTGGGGCTTGCACCAGCAAAGGAGATTGAAAGGAAGGATAAAATGGCAAATGACAGTGTGGATTAACCATGCCTTTTATCTTCTGTATTCTGATGCTTTGACATCTGGGGCTTTGCTGACCCTGAATTGACTGCCCCTCCCAGGGGCAGTCAATTCTGAGAACTAGTAAACAACTTGCCCAAGAGCAGCCCTTTTAAATGCAAACCAACCAATCCAGAGCCCATTCCCCCAACTACCTTCTTTATTGGTGGCTTTCACATTCCCAACCACTATCCACCTGCCATACTCACCCTAGGGACAGGTACCAGAAAATTAAGGCCAGCCCCCTATGTCCCAGAACCTGCTGAAATGATTCATATTCACCAATCCTAAATCTGCTTACCTCGCCTCACCCATTCCTTCCCGTGGAAGCCACAATAAAGGCTCTCGCACAGTTTCCCCTCCACTCCTTCCTCCTGGCTGACCCTGGTGCTTGGTGCTTCGCCATGTGGCCCCCTACGATGTGGCATGCCCTCTTCTCTTGGGATCTCTGAGTATAACAAACTCTCTTTTCAATGGCAATCGTCTCCTGATCTGTTGGCCTCACTGTACCTCACCGTACCTATAATCTATATTTAAAATCTATATTTTAAAACACAGTGCTACAAGGAAGGAGTGATGAGTAGAGCCATATGCTCCTGAGAGTTGGGTTTAGCAGTGTGGAGGTCGTAGATGACCCCGATGAGCACAGTATCCGCAGACTTGGTGTGGATGAAAGCCTGAGTGGGTTCAAGAGAGAATAGCTGGTAAGGACGTGGAGACAGATAAAGCCCATTCTTTGCGGAGAGTGTTAAAAAAGTCTAAAGAGAAATGAGGCAATAGCTAGAGGGAAATGTGAGGCCCACAGTAAGCTGTATTATGGTTTTTATTTTAGGAAGGGAGATGTTACAGCTGGGAACAATCTCAAGTGCTTTCCACAGGGAAATGCTCATGGCACGCCTGAGATGGACCTGAAGGTACTCTTATCAAAATGCAAATATATCCAGAAAAAGTATCGTCTTGAGAGGCACCAGCTATACTGGCATTTGCCGTCATTTTTATTTTTAGAACATGAAAGTCTGGCCTGTAATGCAGTCCTAACAACGGAAAGGACTCCTGGGTCATCCACCACTGGCTTTCATTTCCCCTTCTTCCTTGCTCTTCCAAGAGGCCTTTCCTGGCACGCTGCCTCCATGAGCAAACTGAGGGACAGACACTGTCACAAAGGTGCTTCCCGACTAGCAGCCTTCTTTCCTTAGTCTTTCTTCTAGGGAAAATATACTCCATGCGACGGCTAAGAGCTCAGGCTGTAAAATCATACACATCTGGTTTCAAATCCTGGGTCTACAAATTATCAGCCTCTAACACGTTGAACAATTTATGAAAACTCTTTGTGCCTTACTTTCCTATAATGCTAATGATAGTATCGCCCATCTACAAGGCAGAATGTCGGGGGTCATCTCTCACCTTGCAAATCCGGCCCATCCCATAGTTCTGCTAATTCCGCCTCCTTGATACTTCTCAGACGATGCCTCTCCTTTCTGCCACCTCGCTGCTGTCACCTTAGTTCGGCTTCTCATCACTTCTTCCTATACCGTAGCAGAGCCGCCTCACTGCCATTTCTACCTCCTAGTCTGCTTCCCTCTGCTTCATTCTCCACTTGGCCCTCCCTTCAAATATGTCCAAAATCTGACTCGCTCTCACCACCACCACTGCTTCTGTATTAGTCAGAGCTGTTATCA